TGTATAAGCCTGAATCCACTTCCCCAAAGTCTCCCTCAAAATGAATAAAGTTTGAGGGAGACTTTGCGTGAGGCGGCAAGCCAGAAAATGCTGTCCGAAGTGGGTCACCCAGGTCAAACGGATCATCAGCAGACAGAAGGCTATAGAAGGCTTGAAAATCGCAGCAGTCTCCCTCACACAGAAGACACTTTGAGGGAGACTTTTCTGGTGGGACGATTGGGTTGCCGCTTGCAGCCCACTTGACCCACTTGCAGCACGCTTGGCCCACTTGCGGCACATTTGCCCTACCTGGCCCACTTGCAGCCCACTTGGTCCACTTGACCCACTTGCAGCCCACTTGCAGCATGCTTGCCCACTTGCACCCCACTTGACCCACTTGACCTACTCGGGGACGTTGACCAAGTATGTCAAGTGTGTCAAGTGTGCCAACACACTTGCAATCGGTTAATCATTCCCGCCTGCGCTCGCAATGAAACAACAGCAACAACAACAGCAACCACAACCAAGAGGATCGAAGTGAAAGCAACAGAAGCGCACAGCAGCTTTGAGTAGTTGGTATCTGTAGGATCTGAGGCGGCAGCTAGATTTCACAGGCCAGGACTTCCGAACCAATGCCTTCTTGGCAAGATGGAGCAAGATGAAGCATGAAGTTTCCAAAGCTTGCACAGGAGTCAATCATGCTTCATGCTATCAGGACAAGCAGCTCCATCTGCTACAACGAGGTCGTCAATATTCAACACCTTCTGAGATACTACAGAGTCTTGTGGCGAGAGCCGCGCAACACAAACCCCACTGCACCTGTTCCTCCATCGCATGGCCTGGGGGCCTGTAGCGCAGCAGGTCCGCGTAACCTTCCAGCCTGCCAGGAGAAAGTCTCACATCGTGCTGGAAAGGAGATAGATGCCAGAGCCACAACAGCCAAGAAACAATCTGGAGATGTAGCATCGTTGTTCCTGCTCGATGACTCTGCATGCAAAGCGTCAAAGCCTGCGAATTACAACCAATATTTCTTGGAGGCCTCCTCCTCAAGCTGGATCTGCACAACCTGCATGTGAAATCAAAAGCCTCTGCCGTGCAAAAAAGTCCTTACAGTAAGTACACTCTCGTTGAGCCTTAGCGCTCTTGCAACGTGGCTGGAAATCGTAACAGAGGTAGGGTGGCAACGGGATGTCCCAGAAGGCCTCCCCCTGACCTCATTTTGAGACATGGCCGACAAATCCAAACCCAGCAAGCAACCTCAATCAGTTGCAATATCCCCCTTCAAGTTCTGACAATGACCTCACACCCCCACCCATTATAAAATGGAAGGATGGGGGGGGGCACCTTTGTTGCTCAGTGGGCTGTTTCCGAAATGATTGTTCCCAAAATGGTCTAAAAATGTGGCTTTCCCTGCGCGCCGCCTCATGTGTAAAGATAGATATGGGGCTGCTGTTACACAGCAGACCCATATTGGAATTGTGGGGTTTGCAGAAAGCTTCTATCGTTGAACTTGTCTTGACATTTCCTTCTAATCATACACGGCACTACAACACTTCCCGAAGCTCATCCATTCCTTCAATACATGTTTAATCGAGAGGCCCTAAGAAAACTCTAGCGCTGGACTAACGTTTTTCTAGCGCCACGCTGGTGATGCATCGGATTTTCCTGCGTGCCGCTCATGTCGCAGAGGAAAATATGATCCTCATCATTCCATTCTATTCGTTCCTTATAAACTCTAATACGCGTATTTTGGACGTCGCTCTTGTAACTTCAAAAGCGGTTTACAAAATGGGGGAGTCTTAAAACGTGCCAGTTACAAAAAGAGGGGGGGTACCATTGCCATTTTTTGTATACAAGTGGGTGGGGGACGTCAACATGCAAGAAACGATTTTTTCATGCTCCTTAAACAAATAGCGAAAAAGATATGGAGGTCTGACAGAATAACAAAGGGAGCATGCCCATGAACAGTATAAATGCAGTATGTATATCTATAAACAAAGAGATGTGTGGTACCATGCCTCATGTTTATCCCACCTGACTCTACGCCTCCCACGTCCCCCTGGCTGTGTCCTGGGAGGATTATGCGAGGATTTTATAGGGATTGTGTGCGGAGTACATAAGGATTATATAGTGATTCTGTGAGGCCGATATAGGGATCAGAAAATTAATAAGACAAGGAGTGAGTAGGGATTATGTGAGAGTCACATGGGCAGTATATAGGGATTACGTGAGGATTACAAAGGACGGCCTCCCAGAACGCAGCCGCGGGGACTTGGTACCAAGCACTGGGGCTTAATCGTCTCACAATCCCCTCGAAATCCTCCCATAAACCTCTCAGGACGCAGCCGCTAGGACATGCTACCAAGCACCGGCGCGAGGGAGGTCTAGAGAAAAAACATGAAGCATGGTAGGACACATATGTATATGGTAGTTTCCCTATATTACTGTTCCCAAAATGGGGGAAATCTATATAAGGCCCCATATTATAATGGGAACCCAAATATAGGACCCCGTATTATAGGGAATTTAGACCAATCCCCATATATATTTATGTATATGAGGCAGGAACCTTTATGTATAATGTGATGATTTTGTCTTTCTTTGGTACTAAAACTATTAAGGTAGCCCGAAAATCATAGCAGAGCCCATTATACTAGCTTTGTTATATTTAAGCGGAGAAGTTCTAGGGACACAAGGTAGACCCAGCAGAAAATGCACCACCTGGTATTCCCAAATTCCTGTAAGTATGGATATTTAAACTACACAAGGCGGTGAGAGTGGACGCGTGTTGGGGGGGGATGGGCTACGGGTTTGAGCTAGGGTCCTAGCAGGGGTTAGGATTCGGGCATTATTATGGGGATTCCTTCAAACCCTATGATGGCTAGGGCGTCAACACCAGCATTCCTGCTTGCTTTTGGGACCGCCATGGTCTCACTTCCTTTGGCAAAAAAAGTGCCCAAGTGGCACAAGGTTTGGCAACAGCAAGAGAAGCCCAAATGGCATAGGCAAAACATGCCTGACCGGCATCTTGGGTCTTGGTTTTCACTCGGACTACAAGCTGCCTGCTCATCAACAGGATGACCGGTAGCTTTAGTCACCCTTAAGTAGATAGAATATGGGGAATATGGGGATTTTTTTTAAATTACCCAAACCCATAGTCTATCTACTTCAGGAGGACTATACAGCCGTTGTTGATGCGGGTATACTTGTCGAATCATACTACTCTACCCTCGGCAGCTACTAAAGCATAAATTTGTGGGACCATTGATTGCACCGAGACACATCAGAATCTTTCTTCCATAGAATTCGTTAAGGTTAGAACTGTAGTACATTCCATACGACGGTCACAAAGCCACAAAGACGTCATACCAGGACCCATGGAAAGCTTCAGGTTGTAGGTTTTAGATGTAGGTTTGGGGTACACGCCATTTGCCCTTGACCTGTAGCATGCTATACATATTGCCCTGATTCCTTAGAACTCATGAGACCTAAGCCCTAAACCTACAAAACCTAAACTGCTGGGAGCAAAAAAAGCTCCACTTCAGGAAGCACGTCTGCACTCTGTCGAAGTGAGGCACCATATGCCCAAGTGGCACATGCAAAACATGCCTGACCGGCATCTTGGGTCCTGGTTTTCATTCGGACTACGAGCTGACTGCTCATCAACAGGATGACCCGTAGCTTTAGTCACCCTTAAGTAGATAAAATATGGGGAATATGGGGATCGTTTTTTAGTAAGAGTCCGGGGGACTGTGGGCGT